CCCTGGTTTCGAAAGGGGCGGGGGGTCGAACCAGCAGCCCCCCCCCCTCCCCCCCCTTTTCACAGATGGACTGGGGGGGGGGGGGGGAGGGGTTCGAACCGGCAGTGACCCCCCTCCCGGTTTTCCGGAGGGGAGGAAAAGGGGGGGTTTCGAACCGGCAGTGACCCCCCCGCAGTTTTCCGCCAGCAGCGATGAAACACGCTCTTTCAGAAAATAAGAAGTCCTTGACCACCGCGTAGACCACCGGGACCTTCAGCGAGAATGAGAGAGGCGTCGGACAGCAGATCTCACCCTTGCTCTCCGCCACTTCCCTGCCGAAAGGTCGCGCGCATAGCCTCGCCCTGAGCTTTCCGCTTCGCCGCCCCAGCACCCACTTCCAAGCGAGCGCCCCGGGCCCCCCCGGACCCCTGATCAGCAGCTTCCGCGCGCCGCGGATAACAAACTTGCCCATCTCCATCTGCGTCGCCCCCCACTCGTCCTCAGACGCCCATCCCGCGACGAGTGCTAGCTCGACGATCTCCTCAGCCCCCTTCGTCGATCTCGCCGATGAGCTGCAACATCTCCTCGCTGCTGAAGATAGCCACCGGCTCCTCCAGCACGGACCCCCCGGCGCGTCGATCGCGACAGCGATGCCCCGGCTGCCGGGCGGACCTCCAGGGCCCCCATCTCCAAGATCTCCTTCATTCTCCTGCTGACCACGCAGGCGTCGCTGCACCTGCCGTCGAACTTGCGCCACGGGGCCCTGACGTGGAAATCATCCTGGCCAGGATGGCCCAGCATCTGCAGCTGCACCTGGAATCGGAACCACGGCACACAGCGGTGGCACTTCTGACTCCGACGCAATCGCTGTCTCGTACTCGGCACGAACTTGCCGGCAAGTCCTGGAGCAACGAAGTGGGCGGCAACGTCCATGCTCACCTTGCGCTGCACACTCACATCCAGGACCCGTTTCCGTCGGCCGCTAATTCTCGCCATCGTAAGCACCAGCCCTTACTGGCGTCTTCCACAGCGCCCACCGCATCGCTCTGGAACCTTCCACGTCGGCGCTCTCTTCACGGGCAATCTGCTTGAGCGCCCTCGCCATCGCCGCGCCCGTAGGCGCACCGATGAGGTGCGCGTCACTCTTCGCAGACCGCCCTAACCACATGCCCCTGCACCTGGCTGACCCCAACATGTCATGGAGCCCGACCGGGCCCATGCCGATGACCGCCTCCCCGAACTCCAGCATGGGCGAAGCGTTGGGTGCCGGCCGAAGCCAGCTGGCACCTACTGAGCCTGTGGCAGAACAGCCGGCGCTTGACCACCCAGTAGATGGCGGGCATGTCCCCCGCGACCTTCACACTGCACTACTCCCTGGAAGCGACCCGTGCTGACCCAGATAGGCCCGCCACCGTCTCGGCTCCACGCCCAGCTCCTCCTCGGGATGCGCGGCCACCCATCGGCGCGAATCGAAACCGCGCGTGAGCCGCCAGCAGCCTCTCTCCTCAACTTCTTGACTCGGTACGCGAACATGAAATCAAGGACCTCAGAGCTGGCCCGCTGCCACACTGAGCCCCCGTGCCAAAATAACCCAACTCGCCCCGGAACTCACCCACCGCCAGGCGCGCGCAGCTCTGGTCACCCGTCGCCACGATCACAACTCCTACGAGGCCACTGCCGCCGCGGGCTCGCGACCCGCACCGCCCTCCCCGAGCCCCAAGAACCCGCGGTCGAACTGCACGAGCGGCAGTGCCGACGCCGTCGGATCCCTTGCTCTGCGTGGGCCCTCCTGCCCACGTCCAATCATGCACTCCTGGCACCAGGCCCCGAATGGCACGTGCTCACGTCTGCGGCGAGCTTCAGCAGTTCTGGCCGACGTCGCCCCAGGACGTCGCAACCCAGGCGCTCGGGTCGCCCCCGCCCCGGATAGCGCACGATCAGCGGCACCACGCGACCTCATCCCCACTGCCACCCTCGCCCTCCGTCTGCGTGTTCTGGCCAATCGGCTCCTCGATTACGCCGATGATCGCCTCGATGTCGCTTGGGCCATTGAAATGCATGGGTTGGAGGAAGGCGTTCACCCTCCGTCGTTGTGCGATGGCAGCAGCACCTTCCCGCGCCCGCTCAGGCCCGTCTTGCAAACTACCACTGCTCTTGAACATCCTGGCGCCATCTGGACCTAAATGCAAAAAAAACGCCATTGATCATTCATCCCAGCAACCAACAGAGCCCCGCGTCGAACCTCAGCTGGTGGGCAGCGTTCAGTTTCGCTGGGATCGTCGTCTTGGCATCGTAGATACCCCATGGAATTGTTCGTTTGCCCCATGTGCGAATGCCTTTTTCCACGTGATCGATCGTAGAGCTGATCCTGCTTCGCCTGTGAGCTTACACCCTGATGTCATCGCCCTCGGTACTGCTCGGGCGTGAGCTCCACTATCCACCAGCATCTCGTGCCCGTCGCAGATCCCGTCGTCGTCTTTGTCCGTGAACGCGAATAGCCACCCCCCCTCGTCTCCCTTATCGTGGGCAGCCAGCACTGTTTGTTGCTCCTTGCCACATCGTAATCGGTGGGCTTGGCGAAACATTCGAAACTGCGCTCTCAGGGTCAACGGTACTTGCCACGTCCGACCCCGATCCTGGCTGTTGAACTGCCCCCACGGACCTATATCCTGAACTGCGGCAGGCACCTCCACAACACTTTCCTGCAATCCGTCATCTTGCGACCGTGCTTGCCGCAGCGGGGGGGTCGAACACCATCCGCCGAAGAATTTCGTCTCGTCCTTATTGGGGTGTGTTTTGCCTGCGCCCTTGCTGTCACTAACCTTGCCCTTGCTGCCAGAAGTTGTTTCCTCTACCCTTGGCGGAATTGTCGTAGCTTGTACCACCATAGCCGCGACCACCCCGGCACTTGCCATCACTCTTGTCGTGGCCCTTGCCGAAAGCGTCGACGCTCATGGAACTCTGATCGAACTTCTTCGTCGTTGCTAAGCTGCCCATCATGGACATCTGCTGGGCGAATGGCTCCCACGTCTTTCGAAAGACAATGTACCTACTGAGCGTATGCATCATGATCTGGGTCTTGGGCAGCTCTGGCATGCTCTTCTTAATCCGGACCTGCACCAGGGTGCATGACATGATCTCCGAAAACATGTACCTGCTGATGTTCAACAAGAATGTCCTGAACTCCTCGGCGAAGGCTTCCCACTTGCCACTAAGCTCCGCATTCACCAGCAGTCGTAGCTACGTCACCGTGTTGGAAGCGGTCACTGCGCCCTCACGTACACATAGTCACCTCCACTGTTCGAGACCGTTGCCAGCTTCGCAATACATAACCAATGTGAGAGCGCTGCTTCCCAGCAGCTGTGACAATATGTAATGTGTCGTGTTCCCGTTCGGGCGATGGTGCTCTCAATTGTTTATCATGATCCCTGAATACTTATCTATGTAAACACATATATAAATATATACACATCTACATATACGTATACACATACATGTATAGGTACATTGGTGTGCAGCGATCGCTGCGCTCAGGCAGGCCTGTTGGGAACGGCCACTCCAATAGCAGCTATTATATAGCAGTGTGCAGCGAATCGGCAGGCAGGCCCCCCTGCGGTCTGCGCTCAGGTAGGCCTGTCGGAAGCGGCTAGTCTACTTATTCGGCGTTTCGGCGCTCGCCACGCGGGAGGACGAGGAAGAGCAGCAGCAGCGACCTGGAGGCCTGGAGGAGGCTTCTTTAACGCTTCTTGCGCTTCTCTTGGTCCGCCCAAGAACCATAAGGAGGAGCTGAAGAAAGAAGAGGGGTGCCCGAGTCTGGCTCCATAGTGCACACCGCCAAAGCCAAACCACGGTCGATCGAAGGCCGCCTCCCCCTCCCTTTCTGGCCACGCATCTGGGGCCATACCACGGTGCAAGGAAGGCCAGAAAACTCCTCCAGGTCGCACCAGCAGGGCACAAATTTTGATTACTTGACCTTCTATAGGGGGTATTGTTGAAGAGTTTTCGAGCCACCTACAGCCGTCGTTCGGCCTTCTTTGAGCTTCCTGGAAGCATGCTGGAGATGAGGTCTTGGGCGACTTTGGGGGCCATTTTGAACCCTCTTGGGGCTGCTTTAGGGGCTTCTTGGGCTGTCTTTGGGCCCCATTGGGGTCGTGCCGAGGCCGTCGTAGGCCCATCTTGTGCCGCCGTGCGGCCCTCTTGGGCCGTCTTGCGCCAGCCTTCTTGGGCCGTTTTGAGCCCCTCCAGGGCACTCTTGGGGCCCGCTTGACCTGTCTTGGGCCCATCTTGGGCCCTTCCTGGGGCCAGCTGGGGCTCTTTTGGGCCGTTTAGGGGTGAGCTTGGGGGCCTCTTAGCCCGTCGTGGGCACCTCGAGGAGCGGATAAGCAAATATACGAGCATCATGTAAAAACCATTGGAAGCTTGATGATGGTTGTCTCCTGGGGGAGCTCTGAGTGAGGCTCGTCCAGACCCCCAGTCCCGTCAGGGGGCCGCCGGAGCCGCCTCGTGAGCGGTCTTGGAGATCTTCGAGCCGCTTGCCCCCGAAGGCCCCAAGGAGGTCTCCAAGAGGCCCCCAGGAAGCTCCCAGGAGGCCCCATGAGTGACCCAAGAAGCTCCCAAGATCTCTTCATCCTTCTCCTCATCCTCCCAATTCTTCTCTTTCCTCATCCTCGTGTTCCTCCCACACGTGTTCCCCGAAGGGTTTCCACAACGGCTGGGGGAACGCATGTTCCAATAGCGTGGCCAAAATTGGATTAAACGTTTGGACACATAGACGTGCCATACACTGCATGGGGGCGGCGGTGGTTCGCCGTAGGCGTCTTCGATACCCCGACGCACCACCGTAGGGTATTACTTTTCGGCCACCCTTGGGCAGGCGGCCCTGCTGGCGGAAGAATCATGTTATACGGTTCTTCGTCCACCAAATTCCATCCCCCCCTTCCGCTTCCCACGTGGAACCACCACGCCCACTTCGAGCGTCCTGCCGGACACGGGCGGCGCACAGGGTGGCCCCGCGCCCGAGCTTTGAAAAAACCGTATCCTGCCACAGGTTCTTGAAGTGGGAACCTGAGGGGGCGCACAGATGATAGGCACCAGCGCGACGGGCTGCGAATCAACCGCAGCACCAGTGCCGCTGGCACCGACGAAGAACGCCCACCGAATGGACAACGATCGCTGCGATATGTCAAGAAGCCCGATACTGTCGGAGGGTCTGAACTAGTTGGGACCCCAGAAAAACGGTCAGGAGGGGATGAGGCCAAACCTGCTCAAAAGCAATCCCTGGACCCTTCCTGGGGTCCACCTGGCACAGTTTTCCACCCTGGATCCGTTTTCGATGGTCTCGGGCCCGAAAGCGGCCCCTGGAGGCCGAAAAGAACAGAACAGTTCCCCGAACACAAAACTTTTAACTTCGCCTCCTCCTGCTGGCTGGAACTCCAATGTCCGTCGTCGTCCCAAATCTCACTGTTTACTTTCGGTTCTTCGGTGACGCCGCACCGTGGGCGCAGGCGGCCAGCGGGACAGCGAATCTGGCGCGTGCTCGCCTCGGACAGACGGGACCCCCTAAGACCCCACGGACGTGGGCGATCCCCACGCCCGGAAAGTCTACGAAGCGCCACCAGCACACACATTCGAGCGGCGCGGGCCAAGCCAACTCTCGAGCCGTTCGAAGGGGGCCGCCAGCGCGCGCGCGCCGGCCAACAGAGGGGCGAGTCCGCCGGGCCCTCACGCGGCAGAGGCAGGGCAAGGGGGGCAGCGGGCCGAGGCGCGGGGGCGCTGGCGGGCACGCACACACAAACGCACACACACACACACACACACACACATACGCACACACACACACATACACACACACACACACACACAAACACACACACACACAAACACACACACACACACACGTTTTGCGCCGGCGGCTAGGCAGAGTGACTGCGCTGGCGGAGAGAGCATATACATATATATATATATATATATATATATATAGGGCATACAAAGGCGAATTGTGCCGCGACGCAAGAACGTGCAGGGGAAAGGAGAAAGGCCCGGCGCGGGCGGGAGGGAGAGGAGGCTGGGCCCGCTCAGAGCGGCGCTGCGCGGCGGCCAGCAGGAGCGCCGGGGCGGCAGCTGGGAGGGTAGCAGCCAAGTTGGCTGCCAGGGCAAGCGCCCAGGGGGGGGAGCGTCAGGTCCAGCGCGAGCTGGAGGTGGAAGCAGCACAGCGAGGTGACCAGGGGTGCCGAGGTCAGGGTGACCTACGAGGCAACCTGGGGGGCGAGAGCGAAGGCAGCGGGCAGCGAGAGCATAGGGTGCCAAGGTCACATGTGACCTGCGAGGCGCCCGCGGAGCGTGACAAGGGCGAGGCAACCCACAAGACGTCGGGGAACGACGGACAGCGGCACACCAGCCAGTGAGCGCGGGCGTGCCCAGAAGCAGGGCCGCGACTGCCGCGGGGGCAGCATGGGGCCGCCCGGCCGGGCCGGCTGGGGCGGAGGGCGTGGCCAGGGCAGAGACGTGCCAGGCGCCAAGGTCAAGCATGACCTACAAGGCGGCCAGGGCCGAGACAGCCGACCCAAAGCGGGAGGGGGGGAGAGTGGAGGCGCAAGGCAATGCCCTGGCAAGACAAGTATGGCGAGCCAGACCCACGAGTGCAAGCCAGGCGGGCGGTCGGAGCAGAGGTCAAGGGTGACCTGCGAAGCAGCTGAGCGGAACCCGCCCGTGAGTCAGACAGACCGCCATGCGAGCGAGCTGCCAGAGCGGAGGAAGCAGACCCGCGGGGCGGGCGGGAAGAGGGGGGGGCAGAGAGGCCGAGGCTGTGAGTGGCCTGCCAAGCATCCACAGACCCCAGGCCGGGGCCTGTGCGGGCTGGTCTGAAACTAAGCGGGACGGTAGCGCCAGAGCACGGAGAGGCGGAGGGGCAGCCAGGGAGGGGCGGCCAGCGAGGCCAAACGTCAAAATCCTGCAGAAGGCTGGCGATCCAACCTGCACGGCAGAGCCGAACAGTGGATGAAACGGCAGGGGCAGGGGTCCCCTCCCAGGGCGGCAGGGTGGCGCGAACGGCGGGCCCCGAGCCCCGCGGAAGGGAAGGGAGCAAGGGCGGGCGGGAGCGACGGAGCGGGCGCCAAGGGCGGGCGGCAAGACCAGCCCACCCGGCGCCGAAGAAGGTGCGAACACCATGAAAAGCCGGGCACGGACCCAAACCAAGGTGCGCGGACCCAAACCAAGGATTGACTCAGTGATGGACCACGGGGAGCGCAGGGAGTGACCAGCGGTGGACACCAAGGCGGGGGCCTCCGCAGGACTGGGGCGCGCCGCGATCAGAGGAGCCGAGGGAGCTCGCCATGATGGCCCCTGTTGCTGTGAGCGGGGCGCCTGAGGCACCGCGCTGAGGGGGAGTGAGCAGGTCTCTGATAGTGGCCACGGCTGGGGGGTAGCACCGAAAAGGTGCACTGAATTGCGTAGAAGGCAAGGCAAGAAGCCATGCGGGAGGGGGGGCGGGGGGGGCGCAGCCCAAGCAGATGTGTGCTTGCTGCAGGGGGGTAGGCGCGGGGCCACACCGAACTGGTGTACTGAACTTGGATCCAGCCGTAATCGGCGGGCAGATGGGGGCAGAAAGAGCGCAGGGGGCAAGCTCTTGCGCAGGGGGCGGTCAGCTGGCCAGACTGCGGACACACACACACACACATACACACACATGTGTGTGAGTGTTTGGGCGGTCGCGTCCTCGCGCCGGCGACGGGGCGGAGTAAGTCGAAAGCAGTAGAAGCGGGCGCGCGCGCGCGCGCGCGCGCACACACACACACACACACACACACACTGTTTCGCGTCGCGGCCGCGCGCGCAGCGAAAAGGCGTAGAAGGTCGAAAAGCAGCACCCCCGCGCGCGCGTCTAAGCTCGCCGGAGCCCTCAGAGACCACGTAGGGTCCCGCACCCGCCGGCAGCCGTAACCATCCGGGAATGGATGGCGGGGGGTCGGTGGAAGGACGAGACTGCAGTGAGGTGGGAGGTGCCATGAGTCAACCGGCACGGGAAGGCGGGGGGAGCGAGCAAGCAGCGTGGAGCGACAAGAAGACCAAGACCGACCTGGATGACAGGCAGGAGCCGTGGAGGAGCGAGACTACGGTGAGGTGGAAGGTGCCAAAAGCCAACAAGAACAGGCAGGCGGGGGGCACGAAGAAGCCGAGTGGAGTGGCACGAACACACACACACAACACACACACACACACACGCACACACACGCATACACACACGCACACACACCTTTCGGGCGTTGCGGGGGTGGCCACCTCGCCGCACTGCTGGGCGCGCGGCCGGCGGCCGGGCGCGCAGCAGTCGGGCAGGAACGAGGCGGCCGGAGAAGGCAGGAGCAGGGCGAGGCGGCCGGCCCCTCGCGGGGCAGTGGCCGGGAGCGGCGCCGGGCACACACACAGACGCGGGTGTGGTGGCACAGGGTCCCACTGCCGCTGCCGAGTCCGAGGATGCGGGCAAGGGCAAGGACAGCGACGTGGGCGAGGGCGAGGGGAAAGCCGAGGCCGAGGTCGAGGGCGGGGACGGGGGCGAGGGCCAGAGCCGGGAAGGACACGAGGGAAAAAGCCATCCGTCCGATGCTTCTTCGATCGAACGCTTAGTCAAAGGTCAATTCTCGTCGTCATCCCCATTGTTACTGTCATCCCCATCACCCTCCTCATCGTCGTCCACATCGCCATTCTCATCCTCGTCGCCGTCCTGTGACACTTCGTAGTTCCAACCGCGAACGACGGAAGCGGCTAAAGCAGTTCAGTAGAAAGCCAACGTGCAGAATCTCACCGAGACGGGCGGCGGCTTCGTGAACCAGCTACCGAATCGTACCCTGACTCTTCTCCGTCTGACCCAGAACGACGGGACGGGGTTCCAAACGATCGTGAGGTCCAACGGATAGGTAGAATTGCGCAATGGGCCTGCACTCCAACGCTGCAGTACCGCTTCGAACAACGTCAGCTGGCTTGATATTCTCGGGACTGTCGTCACTCTACTCAGGATGCTCCGATGAAAATGCACGAGGGGCATGTAAGCGGGGGCGAGCGAAGGTGCAGGCAAGTACCCTAAAAGGGGCCCTCAAAGAGCCGCTAACTGCTAACCCGCGTCCAAGAGATGCTGTGAAAGTGCACATTTCTTAACCCCCCTTCCTTTTCCCCCCTCTGCCGCCCGCCCGAATCGCGTCACCGCGTAATATCTGTCGGGCTTCGACCTCGCTCGCAAAACGGCGGCGATTCGATCATATATTAAGGTCGAGGACGTGGACAAGGAGGGGGATGGGAACAGGGGCAAAGACGAGGACAAGTACAAGAATGCCAAGGAGATGAGGGAACGGGAGGAACGGGATGCGCAGCAATAGCAGCAGCGCTTGTACAGCATCATCGAGCACGCGCGTTGCCTGGACTCTTCCACACACTCCCCCCCCCTTCCCGGGCCCACACTGCGCGCAGGGAGCCGTTCGTGCTGGTGATGTGGTCGTAGTACGCACCCTGCATATTGCAGCCAGGTATCGGACACGTGCAGCTGATGTTCCGCTGATCCAGATAGTCCGAGACCTTCTGCACGTTGGGCCTCATGCCCGCACGCGCCGCCTCCGCGGGGCCGAGGAGCGCGCGGGCCAGCGCCCCCGAGGCCACCGCTGCGGCCTGCGGCCCGCCGCCACCGCCCGGCCCGCCGCGGCCTCGGGCGCCCCACTCCCGAGAGGGGCAGAGGCAAGCTCCTCCCAGATAGTCCTTCCTCCTCCCTCCTCCTCCTCCTCCCTCTCCTCCTCCTCCTCCTCCTCCTCCTCCCTCCTCCTCCTCCTCCTCCTCCTCCTCCTCCTCCTCCTCCTCCTCCTCCTCCTCCTCCTCCTCCTCCTCCTCCTCCTCCTCCTCCTCCTCCTCCTCCTCCTCCTCTCCTCCTCCTCCTCCTCCTCCTCCTCCTCCTCCCTCCTCCTCCTCCTCCTCCTCCTCCTCCTCCTCCTCCTCCTCCTCCTCCTCCTCCTCCTCCTCCCCTCCTCCTCCTCCTCCTCCTCCTCCTCCTCCTCCTCCTCCTCCTCCTCCTCCTCCTCCTCCTCCTCCTCCTCCTCCCTCCTCCTCCCTCCTCCTCCTCTCCTCCTCCTCCTTCCTCCTCCTCCTCCTCCTCCTCCTCCTCCCCTCCTCCTCCTCCTCCTCACTCCTCCTCCTCCTCCTCCTCCTCCTCCTCCTCCTCCTCCTCCTCCTCCATCCTCCTCCTCCTCCTCCTCCTCCTCCTCCTCCTCCTCCTCTCCTCCTCCTCCTCCGCCTCCTCCTCCTCCTCCTCCTCCTCCCTCCTCCTCCTCCTCCTCCTCCCCTCCTCCTCCTCCTACCTCCTCCTCCTCCTCCGCTCCTCCTCTCTCTCTCTTCTCTCTCTATCCTCTCTCTCTCTCTCTCTCTCTCTCTCTCTCTCGCTCACTCTCTCCGCCGCAGAGCCATCCTGACGCGTCCGTCCCTCATCCGCCTCCTCATCCTCCCCGTCCTGCCATCGCTGGTGCTGGAGAAACCGCGATTGCGTCCGCGCTCGCGCTCGTGGTCGTGCTCCCTGCTACCACTTGCGCTGACGCCGATGCCTATTATCTTCCCCCTGGCACTGGTGCAATTACTGGTGCCGTTACGGTGATGATGGTGCATGGATTGGCGCTTGCTTGACACCCCTCACAGCATTAGAGAGCGCATCTGGCTCACGCACCTGGAGAACTCGTGTCTCGACCAATCCAAGTCAAGAACGCGAGGACAACGTGAGCGAGCTGCAAAAGCCGGGGTGGTCGCTCACTGGACCCTTTATCCAGCGAACTCTAGGCAGAAGGAGCCCGAAGGTACAAGCAGAAAGGACGGACAGCAATTTGAACCATGGCACCGCATCACCGCAGCAGACTGGCGAAGCGCAACTTAGAAAATTGAACTGCCTTTGGGGCGCCATCGGGGATCTGTGACCGTCTTGAACTGTCTCGGCCCATGCCAAACCTCTCGGGACGGTGCTCGGCTAGGACGTGGAGTTCGCCTCGGTCCGCGGTGGGCGCGGACGATCGGGACTCTGTGGGGCCGCTCAGGCCGCCGAGTTGTACCGCTCTGGCAGGCCGGCGGCCGACGCTGGCGTGGGCCTGTGGGGCTACGTGCTCGGCGGTGCCCAGCCGGTGACTCAGATCCGTTGCGACTGGTCGGAGTCGTCGGTGCGAGTCAGAAAGAACGCATCGACCGCCAGGCGACGCCCGCTTCCTCTGCCAGTGACTCCAGTGCCACCGGGGGGGGGGCAGCAGCACCACCTCCCCCGCCAACCACGATTCCTAGACGACCCGCGTGACTGCAAGTACTCCAGTGTCTGCGTTTTCCTCCCTCCTCCTCTCTCCTCCCCCCCTGCTCGATCGTCCCTCCTCACTCCTCCCCCTCCGACATCCATATCCTCCTCCTGCTCCTCCGTCTCCTGTACCACCGCCTCCTCATCCGTCTCCGTTTCGGCTCCTCCTCCTCCTCCTCCTCCTCCTCCTCCTCCTCCTCCTCCTCCTCCTCCTACTCCTCCTACTCCTCCTCCTCCCCCTCCTTCTAAAGTGTCGGTAACACGGAGACGCTGCATCGGGATGGGTGGCGACAGCCTCACCGGAAGCTCCCTCCACTTGGCAGCGCCCCCCAGGTGCGGATATGATCTCCAGTCTGCAGAGTTCCTCGGCCGAGGGCAGAGGCGAGGGGGAGGGAAGAGCGGAGCGGAGGTGAGGGGAAGGGCGGAGAGAGAAAAGGGAATGGGGAAGGGGAGGGAAAACGGAGGGGAGTGCAGAGGGAAGGGGAGGGGGGAAGGAGGGAAGGAGCGCGCAGTAGAACGGAGTGCACGATCACCTGAGCACACAGGATCAGGCTGACCGCTGTGGTCGCGAGACCACGGTATGAAATGCGACAAGACATGGGCTGGACTGGCCGCGATAGCAGCGGGCATCCCTTGGAATTACGCCCAGCAGCGTGGCAAGCTCGCTTCACCACCTTGCAAGTACATGTGCATCATGGGGGGAGGAGGAGGAGGAGGAGGAGGAGGAGGAGGAGGAGGAGGAGGACGATGACGACGACGACGAGTACGACGACGACGCCGACGCCGACGCCGACGCCGACGCCGACGCCGACGCCGACGCCGACGACGACGACGACGACGACGACGACGACGACGACGACGACGACGACGACGACGACGACGACGACGATCGGCCCGCGAAAAGGGGGCGCGGTCGTGGCTGCTGGCACGCGGCAGCCCTAGAAGAAGGGGGGAAGGGGCGAGCTAGTTCCCCACCTCCCCTTCATCCCTCATATGTCTCGCTGCTGCCTTGATTATCCATTGATTGTGCGGCCCGATACTGCATAGCACTGTGCACTGCTGCCTGGGGAGGGGCCCGTCCGTGGCGAAAGCGGCACGGGGCGTGCGCACCGGATGCGCCACCCCGTGCGGTTCCCTCCCCTGGGCCTGCTGGCGCGCGCTGGGTGTGCCAGCTCGTCTCCCTCCCTCGTGGCCATGTGGCCACGTATGGGAGGCCTGGAAGTGGGCACCAACACCAACACAGGGGGGTGCCTCCACAGGGGGGAAGAGTATCCTAGATGTCGGTGATTTCGGTGTTGGTGGTAATATGTCGGTCACCTTGGAGGGCTGAATATTACCACCACCACCGAGATCGGGATCTTCTTCCCTCGGTGGAGGCACACCGCCGATACTGGTGTTGGTGTCAACTTCTAGGCCTGCGAATGTACACACTTGTACATCAGGCGTGGGTGGTCTCCTCTCGCTTCCGCCTCCTGGAGTACCTGCGCACTTCGGCACGCCCTCGGGCTGCGGCTCGACGTGGGGCGCCTTCGACCATGCTGCCGCGCAGAGCTCCCTCTCGGCGGTGCCCCCCAGGGGGGAGTGAGAAGGGGCAGGCCCTCTCAGAAGGCGGCGGAGCTTCTCGGAAGCCCTCCGGCCTTCTGCGAAGCCGTCTCTGCTTCCAGAGAGGACCCGGAAAGCCTCCTAGGAAGACGGAGGCCTTCCGAGCCTTCTGAGAAGGCCCACCCCCTGCCGCTTCCCCCTTCGCGCCATTGCTCGGATGTTCATTCTCCGCGCAGTGTTCGATTTCGTGCGTGGTTTTTTTTTTTTCCCAAGATGATCCAGGATGCTCCTCGATGGCCCTCGCCGAGAATGCACACACCCGCGCGACGCCAAGCCCTGTACTCGCCGCCGACCCTGAGCTCTCCCGTCGCGTAGCTCTATTGCTGGGTGTCGTTCCAAAAGCACCCTGCGACCCAGCTCTGCGCGGGCAACTGGCCACGGGGCCGCTGGCCTCCCATCGCCTGCAGCACGCGGGCGGGCATGCCGGCGTTGCGGGCGAGCGCGCCCCACCGCCATACCGGAGCGTAATCGCCCCAATACGCAACGACTCACAGGTAGCGTATTGGTACGGAGCTCAACACGTACACTGATAACGCGGGTATGACGCGATGCGTTCGCCAAAACGTGGGGCCAATACGCTGAGACAACACACAACGTACCGACACGGAAGTTTTGAACACGGTACGTGTTGCATCTCAAGACGGGCGTATCGAGGCAGCCAAGTTTGATCCTTGATCCTTCGGAGGGTCACCGTCACAGCCTGTCACAAGTGCGCCTAATCAGATTCAAACGCTTCCCGATACCCTGCGACATGGTACCAGGGATCGAAAGGTGAGGGGGAGGAGAAGGGGGAGAGGCAGAGGAAGGGGGAGGAGGAGTGGCGGGAAGGGGATTGGAGGATGGGAGGGCCACGGAGACGGCGACGGGAAGGGGAGGAAGGGACAAGGGAGATTGAGCCGACACGGGAGACAAAAGGAGAGGGCAGGGGGGATATAGAGGGAGAAGATGTGTTCGCCTTGGCTGCCGCAGCGCACCATGGAGGGAGAAGGAGGCGACGAAGGACCCACTACGAAGCGTTACTGTTTCGCGCAGGCGTCTGGGACCAACAAAAACTCTGCCGCGTCTGACAACGTGTACCTCGTCAGGGAGCACGAGGCTTGACCTCCAACCTCCCGCGGTCCCCAGAGCGCGCTCCCCCGCGCGCGGGAGAGCGCGCACGCGGGAGGAAGTAGCAGGAGGAGGAGGAGGAGGAGGAGGAGGAGGAGAAGGAGGAGGAGGAGGAGTGTGGGTACCCACGAGGAGAAGGAGGAGGAGGAGAGGAGGGGAAGGAGAGGGAGAGGAGAGGAGAGGAGAGGAGAGGAGGAGGAGAGGAGAGGAGAGAGAAGAGAAGGAGAAGGAGAAGGAGAGGAGAAGGAGAGGAGAAGGAGAAGGAGAAGGAGAAGGAGAAGGAGAAGGAGAAGGAGAAGGAGAAGGAGAAGGAGAAGGAGAAGGAGAAGGAGAAGGAGAAGGAGAAGGAGAAGGAGAAGGAGAAGGAGAAGGAGAAGGAGAAGGAGAAGGAGGAGAAGGAGAAGGAGAAGGAGAAGGAGAAGGAGAAGGAGAAGGAGAAGGAGAAGGAGAAGGAGAAGGAGAAGGAGAAGGAGAAGGAGAAGGAGAAGGAGAAGGAAGGAGAAGGAGAAGGAGAAGGAGAAGGAGAAGGAGAAGGAGAAGGAGAAGGAGAAGGAGAAGGAGAAGGAGAAAGAGAAGGAGAAGGAGAAGGAGAAGGAGAAGGAGAAGGAGAAGGAGAAGGAGAAGGAGAAGGAGAAGGAGAAGGAGGGGAAGGAAAACGAAGGTGATGGTGGTGGTGGGCGACGGCCACTGAGGAAACGAAACAAGTCCGACAAGACCAGATCATCGCAAAAAGCAGCACCACAACAACGACGACGCAGCGCAGACGAGGCGAGCTCATCAGAATGCGCCCGCGAGAATACGCGGGGGGACGACAGCAGAGGGGGGAGGGAGAAGAAGAGGGAAACGCGGGAGAGGAAGGACAAGAGACGAGAGGAGGGAGAGGCGGGAGAGGAGGGGAGGAAGGGGAAGGGGGAGAGACTTCGGACCTCTGACGGCGTGGCCGCCCCGTGACGGGCCCCACCGCCCCCTCGGGCCTTCGGGCCACCGCCACCGCAGCGTCGTGGGGGGCGCGTTGTCCCGCCGCTGGGGGCGCGAGCGCTTCAGGCGCAGCGCGTCTACCCAAGAAGGGGGCGGAGGGAGCGAGAGGTCGTGGAACTCGCGCGCGGGGCCCACCCCCTCAAAAGGCCCGCCCGCCCGACCAGGCCGCCCCCTCGGCCACCCGCGCGTGGACAGGCCCGGGGCGGACCCCCGACCGCCCTGCCAGGCCCGTACCGGCGCCGCCCAAGGGCGGGGGCCCGTTTCGGGCAGGAAACCAAGGGGCGGCGGTTTGCCGAGTTCACAAGAGCTCGGCAGGAAACCATGCTGGGCTTTCGCGCCGGAGTGTCGGGCATGAGCGGGACTGGGTCGAGTGGGACCTGGCTTCGTGATGCGCACTTGCACTCCACCGCCCGCCCCATTCCACTAACTGGAACTGGCGTCACCCGAAGAAACACCAGCCACGGCAGACTTGGTTTAGCGGCGACATGCAAGAGCGTCCCTGGGTAAGAGTGACCTTTGGGTGCGCGGCTTTACGGGGGCCGCGGGGCAACCAACCACAACCGCACTCGGCGATCGGGAGGCCCCAGTAGGCCCGCACCAGAGGTCACTCTGGCGAGAGGTCACTTTTCCGTCTAGTCGAGTTTGATGATTAGGGCCCATGTTTTGGGCTTCGGGGCTCAATCACTGCCCGGCACCCCTTACCCGAGATCGTGGCTATCTCCGAAAATCACCCCTGCCCCCCGCGGCGGCGGCACCCCGGGAATCGCCGGTGGGGGGCCGGGCACCGAGAGCCGACCCCCGGGCCCCTTGGGGCGGGGCGCGAACCGCGTTCACGAGGGTGGAAGCGGAGAGGGGGGAACGGGAGAGGGACAAGCCAGGTGCTCAGCTGCCCCGATACTCAGCACGCAACACGTAGCGTTTTGACACAGAGCTCGACACGTAGACTGAATGCGTAGGTCTGGCGCGATGGATTCGCAAAAATGTGGACCAGCACGTGCCGAGCCAACACGCCACGTGTTAACACGGACACTTTGAACACGGTACATGCTGCGTTTCAACGCGAGCGTATCAGGGGTGCCAATGAAGAGGGACAATATAGGTGCACTCGCGCCATATCTCACATCCTGCGCCTGCCACCCATCCTTCCCCCCCTGGGGCTCTTGGCTTCGCATGTGTTATCCATCGGGCATTTTCGTCCTGAGGTCGGGGTGCGGGGCTCCAGTGGTGATTCTTCTGCGATGCTGCAATTTTTTCGCAACGTCAGATATGAGGGCCCATTGCGCTGAGTTTCTCTACCCGCGGACGCGCGACGTAGCGGACATGGAACTCCCTCAAAGAACCTTTCGTGGCATGCGCGATCGGAAGACAAGAAGGAGGAGGGCGAGGACGCACAGCAGCAACGGGAACTTGAGTGGAAGGGGCGGGACAGGCAAGGACCTGGGGCAATGCGGAGGAGGGGGAGAAAGGTGGGGACAACGACGAGGAAAAACTCGAAGCCAGAAAAGCGGCCAGCGTTGGGGCGAAAGCGCCTTTTCTGAACGACGGGAACGACGTCGCGACCCTAAAATGAGGCCAACGCTGCAGCAAGAGCACCGCTTCGGAGGGACAGAAAACGTTTGGAAATATATATATATATATATATATAAATAAATAAGTAAATAAATACATAAATACATA